TCTTCTCCATTTAAGAACCAGCACATACTTTCTTCCCTTTCTCCTCATGCCACAGTCCTTCCAATAATATCTTCTAGAGACTGTAGAGTGGCTTATGTCATCCCTTTTCCTACTCCTGGAGCTTCTTGTATTTCTCTGCTCTACCCCTCAACAGAATTTGCTTACCTATAAAATACTTAGGTAATCTCTTTTATCTTTTTAGATTGTCAGCCTCATAAAGGGAGTGCTCCTATGATCTGATTCATAACTACATCCCTGGTAATACCAACATACAGTAGGAGCTAGCAGTAAATACTTGCTAGATTAGTGGGTCAATAAAGAATAAACATTTCTGAAATCAAAGTGCTTACAATAAAATGGGAGAGGAAGAGTGGGAGAGGAAGAAACTGCACACATTTCCAGGGGCCAAAGACTACTGAGTATTAAAAGAAGAGGTGACATTGTTCAAAAAGAAATGTACTCATTAGCTGACTATTGTAACTGTAACCCTCTATACATCACCTTAACAGTAAAATTAAAAAGGAAAAAAAATTAAAAAGGATCCAATACTCCCAAGACTCCTATCCACAGCATCATTCTTTTTTGTATTTTTTGCACATTTTTTATTGTGAAAATACAGTACAGAGGGGATACAGTTACATGAGAAAGGTAATGAGTACATTTCCTATCGAGCATTGTTGCCTCCTCCTTTGTTTTCCCCCTACTATCCCTTCCCTCCCATCTCCACAACTACACCCTTCCAAACACCAAACTTGTAAAGTTTGTTTTCAACATAGTGTCTTGTACATCTCATTGTTATAATATGTCTACCTCTATTCCTATTTAAGCATTTTGTTTTTTCCCTACCCCTCCCCGAATTAGATAAGTGCATATACAAGATGCAGGGCACCAACATCAAATATAAGGAAAACAGGTGTTATACCATGGGGGAGGAACATATAAAGAAACAAAATATATCAGTTGGTACATTATAAATGCATTAGAAACAATAGCAAGAAAGAAAAAAAATTGTTTCCCTCTCCTGGGGTTCATTTCCCTTAACATCATCTTTTTTTTTGGTCAGTCGTGGGGCTTGAACTCTGGGCGTGGGCGCTGTCCTTGTGCTCTTCAGCTCAAGGCGAGCACTCTACTGCTTGAGCCACAGGGCCACTTCCACTTAACATCATCTTATATGGTCATATGTACATAGTTTTTGACCTTTTCTACTTGTCCTACACATGTTCTAGCTATTGCAAATAAGGGGAACAATGGGATCTATGATTTTGGGCCCAGCTTGTGAAGGATCAATCATTTTTATGCATAGACCTTTCAGGAAGATACATATCTAAATCACAGCAGAAAGGCGGAACTGCCCAGCTTTCTGCCCTCTTTCCGGGAAGGGCATTTGCCTATCATGGAGAGAAACACATTCATAGTTCCTCCTAGTCTGCTGACAGCTGGTCTCCTGTTTACAGCATATTTTTAGAATAGCCCCAAGTGATCTGAGTGTTCTAACACATACATAAATGAAACTAAATTCATGATATTAATTAATATTGTTTATCATTTCTCAACAAGACAAATGTGACTCCACTTGATCACCAATCAACACAATCCAATGGTTTATAATCCTGCTATGATGCATATGGATGAAGAAACTGAGGCACAAAGAAAGGAAGCAGGCAGTCCAGAGTCACTTAGAAGACAAAGTGAAAAGCCTTGATTAAATTCAGGGAGTCTGTCTCAAAAGTCCACAATTCACAATGTTCTCCCATTATGCTGTGGAAACTTCTGAGATTTTAATTCTACTTTAGAGCCAAGATTCATATGCTGAAGTTGTTCAGCCTTCTCATGTGATTCTGAAGTCAAACCTAGAAAGGTCTAAGGAGAGGTGGACAATCTGGTCATTAATAGTTTTACTGAACAAGAAACTTAGATGAAGAAATCAGACCACTGAGGACGTGTTAGGTAATTTTGAGTATACACTCTAATTTTAATACACTCTAATTTGAAGTCTGTGTAGATAGCATGCATGCTCATAATTAGCAAAATTGTCTTAGTTTATAATTAAGACAAGAATCAAATATGTAAGGACAAATAATAGCATAGTAATTTAGTTTTATTCAATACTGAAAGTAATTCATTTATTTACTTGTTTGTTCATTAGCAAATATTTACTGCATACCTCATCAGCTCAGAAACTTATCACAAATAAACACACACACACATACACAAACACACATCCCTTCCTTTATAGCTTATATTCTACTTGTGAGAAACATAAAAGAACAAATTAACAAATGTCATGTTGTCAGCATTACATGATATGTTAAATATAGTAAGAGTATACAATAGGGTATATAGTGTATAGAGAGCACAGAGTATATAGTTGTACATATTTACATTATATTTTATTATGCTATATTAATTATATATAGGCATAAACACTATATGAAAAATGAAGTATGGTTGGGGGATGATAAAAGTAGCCAAATTTTAAGTTTTCTTATCTTCATCAAAATTATTTTAAATATAGCTAAAACAAATAATTTTTGAAGTGAAATCTTCACTTATAAAAGTGATTTGGCTTTCAGTTTTATTCTCTAGGGACAATCTCTTTAACCTTTCCCTTTTTATGTAGGTTCTTAGAGATACACACCTAAAATGAATAAATATCAAATAATTTAAGCAAATCATAAATAATTAAAACCAGTATTTTAAGAAAATTTATTTGATAACAATGGTGCATGTGTAAGACAAAATTCAAGGGGAGGGTAGTACTGAAATGGTTGGTGGAATTGTTCAAACAGGGAATGCAAAACTCTTCCCTCCCACAATTCACTCCTGTTTGTGTAGAAGGGAGGTGGAGAAGTCAGAATCACTGACCCCCAACAGTTCTACTACATTTTTGTGTTGGAGGTAAAATGCTCTGTCCCAAGGCCAATGGAGAGTGTAACTGTCACCTCAGCCTGAAGGTAAGAGCTTTTAAGGCCAGTAGTTTCCTTCTTGGCTCACATTGATCACAAGCTATTCTTTAGATGCTCAAGCATGCTTATGTGGTTGTGACATGGGAGTTTGTTTGGGCTCTGAATGGCTGCAGGGCTCTGGCAGAAGGCAATAGATGACTACTTGCACAGTCAGAAGTGATGTGGGTTTTCCCTTAGAAAGGAGCTCAGGTAGCAAGTACTGAGGAGGTTTTCAGTCCTTTCCTTCACCAGTTATTCACCTTCGATTTCGTATTGTCAGAATAAGACTTTGGCACCAAGAGCAACCCTATGCAAGATGAACAAAACTATCATCTTTGCATATCAATTACTTATGAATCAGTAACAAATGAGTATAGCCAATGTGTACTGAACGCCGACTGTGTATGCATTACACATTGTGCTAATGTTTACGAATAGCCTCCCATTTTTCTCACAATGTTTCGTGACGGATCTGTGATCATTTTCAAGTTATAGATGAAGAAACTTAGCCTAAAGAAGTTAATTAAACTGTCCCCCAAAATACCCGTAGTAAGTACTGGCACCAGAAATGTGGCCTACGCTAACAGACTTTAAAATGTGTGTTCATCACATTTGATCCCATAAATGATTGTGGAGTAAGAATAAGGACCATCTTCCCATTGTGGACAAATGGCAGAATGGCAATTAGCTAGAAGAAAAAAGTATAGTGTCTATCCAGCACTGGTGGCACATGCCTGTAATCCTAGCTATTCAGGAGACTGAGATCTGAGGATCATAAGTTGAAGCCAGCCTGTACAGAAAAGCCTGTGAGACTCTTAGCTCCAATTAACCAACAAAAAACTGAGTGAAGCTGAGGCTCAAGTGGTAGAGCACCAGCTTTGAGCAAAATAACAAACAAAACACACACACACACAAAACTAAGGGACAGTATACATGCCTTGAGTTCAAGCCCAATACCAGCACACACACACACACACACACGCACACACACATACACATACACATACACATCTAATGTTGGTTTCAATTGTGACTCTACTGTTTATTTGCCATAGATGTATGGAAAATTTATTTAATAAATCCATGACTTACAATGTTCTTAATTGTAAATGTTTAGGAAACCCAGAGTGGCCATCATCATCATCACAACTTTATGTAAGAAAAATACTTTGTTATCTATAATTTACAGTTAGTAACAGGACACAAGTAGAACTCATCCTTGTCGATTCCAGTTCCCTTTTTCCTACTTACCACCCCCCTCTAAGAATATATCTTGAAACTGCCAGCAGAAAATTGACCACTCTAGAAGTTTGATACACACACACACACACACACACAACCACAAAAAAATCAAAAACAAAACAAAACGAAAAACCAAATAACTTAGGAACTGTCCACTAACTGGTGCTACTAAGAGGCTTTGTTATTTAAAGACATTTCTGGTTCATCTATTCCAATTTCTTTTTTCTCAGAAAACTGCTCTCTTCAGAAAGTAGCTGGAAAAGCAGTGTGAGCAAAGAGCCCGCGAGAGAACGAGTCAGGAACCGAACTGTGCAAAGGAATTAAGCCGACTCAGTCCATCCATTGCGAAGTACAGGACAACCTTGAATGGCAATGAGCAAAAGATGCTGCCAAGGACAAACAAATCTGGAGCCATTGTGATTTCTTATCACACAATGTGGTGTTCTCCACAGTTGTTTTATATATATATATATATATATATATATATATATATATATATATATATATATATATATATATGCCTTCTGATTGCAAATTGAATATACTTTGTTTGAAAAATATAGAAAACACAAACCTAAGGAGCCAAGCTACTTTGTTTGCTCCCATCTAGATTCCCATTGCCGTTTTTAATGCTTGTTTTTTTTTCCCCTTCTTATCACCCTCACTTCTCTCTAAAGATCTGGAGTCCAGGCTAGGAGAGATCAAGAGCATCTCCGAGGGCAACAGCTCCACTGCTCCCTCCGTTAGCCCCGGCTGCTTGCTGTACTCCCCTCCCCTCCCCCTTCGCCTGCTGCTTACGATTGGTCATTGTCATGACAACCAGCAGCTGCTAGGCTCTCCGCATCTACCGCAGCAGGGGTGGGGCTGTGGGGGTGGGGGAGGGAGGGGAGGAGCCAGGGGAGGTGTCTGCTGCAAGTTCCTGGCTGCTTCTGAGCTCACCCCATCCTCCAAGAGGGAGGAGGCCCGAATGATGCTGCTGCTGTTGCTGCCTCTGCTGCTGGTAATCTAGTGTTGCTGGAAGGGTGGTTCCTGTTCACATCGTTGCCAACCAGAGAGGGAGGGAAAAGAAAAAAAAAAAACCCAGCAGCCGCTGCTGATGTTGGCTTCGGAGGCAGCATCCGACTTGGTCGCAAGGAAAATGGATTCAGTTTGTATCCCTCCCTCCTTCCCACAGCTTCTCCGGGTGTCAGCATGGTGAGTAGAGCAGCGTTGCGTTCCCTTCATGGTTTAGCTGGTTATTAAATGGTTTGTGTGTATACCTTCGCGGCCTGGTTTTGAACAATGACTCCACTCTCGCAGACTAGGAGGGGAGACAGAGATGAGGATGGAGGCAGACGGAGCTTGCTAGGAAGAGAGAAGTAAGAAGGCATCCACTTGTATTAAAAAAAATGGTGCCTGATTTTTATCGCAAATTGGCTCTGAGTACAGACTGAACCACTAGATTTCTTGCCTCCAAGCTTAGCAACAAAATTAGGGGGTGGAAAAGCCGCTAACAGCAGGAAAAAAGGAGTTGTTAAAAGCATCATTTCATTTGCAGCACTCACATTACAGGGTTGGGCCTTCCTCAAAAATACATTTGGTGTCTCAACCTTCATGGCCTAATTATAAGGTAGTTTTGCTTGCTTTCTTCATCGCTAGAGTGGTCCCAGAATTTTGTATTCTATTTCATACTCTAAAACACTCCTGGTGAGAAACAATTCGGCAGATTTCGAGTTTCCTTTTTATACATAGATTTGGCCATGAGCATACACAAATACGTCTCATGAGTATGCAATATATATATATATGTGTGTGTGTGTGTGTGTGTGTGTGTGTACACACATCACCTAGCATGAATATTGCACTTATGAAATATTTATATGCAGAGTATGTTTTGTTTTGCTGTCATTTTTATGGGCTATAAATGTCCTTGCATGCTTGAAGTGATTGCATATTTTTGAAACTATGCTTCTAGATTGTTTTATTATTCACTGGCTGCGTTTGGATTAATGTGAGATTTATTTCTGTTATTGTCCCTTAGTTTCACTGTAGCAAATTAGGAACAATTATGTATGTCTATTATGTGATGTGTATTATAATGCTAAATGCAAATCATAGCTGGACTCTTTTTTCCCCCCATAGGGTTTCTTGGGGCTTTTCTAGCAAACCCTGTATTTATGAGAATGAGAAAGGGAGGTGGCTTTTGGTATTATTTTGTATCCATTATTTTCCCAAATGTATCAGTTTCTCTTACAATTCCAACCCCAGCCTTCTCCTGTTTGTCCCGCTGGTTCCAGGCAGCACAGCTGAACTGGAAGGTGAGATACCTTAATTTTATTTGACTGTGCTGTTTGGGCTGTTCATTCCTTTAGTATCCAGGCACCATTTTATACTTCTGTCAAATGTGTTCTGGGTCTGCTTCTATAAGTAATTCGATAGGAAAGTAGGATTGTTTTTGAAAATTTTAGATGTTCTTAAGTATCCTAGGCTGGCTATTTCCAAATTAGCCTGCTCATTCAATGACAGGGGAGTGTGTGAAGCTTAACTGTAGATTGTGTGGCTCATAGGTGAAATGGGAGCAATTATAATTTATAAATGCTTACCAGGATCTACTTGACTTTTTCTCTCTGGATGCTAGGGGGCTAAGGCAGCTCAGGATACTAAAGATTCCTGACAAGAGCAGCATGCCACCTAGGGTATGGAATTTTATTGAATTAAATCTAGAAAAATCCTTGTAGGTAAAAGTGTTTCATGAATAGCCCATTTATCATATACACTAATTCTATCCATCCATTTCTTCTCCAATGACATTATTGTTGGGGCAAACACTTTTTGCCACTTAAGTGTTTTTATATTTTTATCTTGTATTCAATTTTAAACATTCCACCCTCATTTATAATTTTTATGTGTCTCTGGTTTATAGTTTTTTTTCCCAGTGCATAATTGATTTGTTTTTATAGATTGAAGGGATCCATAGTGACTTAACTTAAGCTGGCTGTGGCATGTCATGAATTATATGGAGTCACAACTCTGTGGGCTCATGCTGCCCTGTGTCTAATTGTAATAACTGTAGAAAGTAGGGCGAGGAAGAAGTATCGGGCTTGTATGTCATGTCAAAAATTTTATAACATATTATGTCCTGAATTTGTTTATAACTGTGATTTACTAAATTAAAACGTCAGACAGTGAACTTTACAAAGTTAAGATCTAGCTAGTGGTTGACTCTGTTTTATACAACAAAACAAAACACCACCACCACAACAGAAACAAAACCTTGGGGGTTTTGTTTCTATTTCCTTTGTGTGGAGTTTTCCTATGGAGGTGGTTTTATGCGCAAAGTTGGTCATCTTTGGACAGAGGCAAGTCACTGGAGGTCATGGGTTTTAAACTCACTGTTCATGGTCTGGTTCAGCTATTAGACTGTCTCCATGGAAAGAAAGTAGAATTATTTCATTTGGAGTAGAAGAAATTGAGAGAAGATGTTCATTGGTGTTCAGATAAGCTGCTGAGTTTACATAGGGATTACTCATTACTGTGTTGTTGGAACCTAGACTATGTCAGTAGACTTGCACTTCATTAGGATGAGAGAATATTAGAAATACAAAGTGTAGCAGTTCTGCATGATAACTATGAGAGTCACAGGACCACCACATAAGGCAGCACACTCTTCTGTCATCCAAACCTTCAAAAGTAGATCCCTTCTCCAGGACTCTGGTCTTCCCCAGAGCAAACTATGCTTTAAAAATATACATCAGTTGTTTAACATCCACAAACCTCTAGACCTGTAACATCAAGACTCCATTTTGAAATGGGCTTCTAAATGATAGAATCTGAATATTTTGAACAGAACTGATTGGTTTTACGGAATCCTGCCAAGATACAGGGGTTTAATCTGTTCATGAATCCTTGCTTCTACACAACTTTATGGAATATAATGTCAAACTACATTAAAATTACTCCCTACTGCATGATTAATTTTGAAAACTGTAATGTGGTACTTAGTGGAGTCTAGATACACAATGATTTAGAAGCTACCAAGTTGATGTCAGAGAAAATGGACTATATGAAGAATATATGAAAATTATTCTTCAAATGTGTTATTTAATTGTGTTGTTTGCGTAAAAGGTATTAATTACCTTTTGCCACACTGGAAATGTTTTTTTTGTTGGAATATTAAAGTCAAAGTTTAACTGCTATGTAAACATTTAGCAAAATTTGTTTTAATTAAAACACATTATTTATGTTGCTTTGTGATAGGATGTTTCCTTGTTCTTCAGTTGACCTCAGAACATATTTGAACTTTATGTTCATTTTGAAAGTCTCTTTCAGTTTGGCATAGAAAATATTTAGAAAGCAAAGTTATTTCCCCTCGAATCATAAAGAGCTGATGCTTTGTTTCCTAAGGTAGGAGCGTAAAATAAATCCAAATTTACCATGAATGTTTCAACAGAAATAATTCAACCATCAGCTTTAGTTGAAATAAATACACTCAATTTATACTTAGTTGTTTCTCTGACAAGTCAATTAGACTCCTCTTGTTGATACATCCCGCTATTATGTTATCAACTGAAACTGCATTTTCAAACAGGAGGAATTAATCAATTGACTAACAACTATTTGTAAAGTTCTTACATGATTAGCAGAATTTGCATATGCTAGCAACATAGAATTTCCTTGGAGGATATAAGATATATGCATGTGAAAAAAGTTAATGAAGACACAAAGTCATTATAATTAGTGTTGTCAATATACCCAATAATAGTATAATCTTTTATAGTAATTTTTCATTCTTTGTTTCTCATTTTATATTCTTAGAAGTTTTCTCATGTTAGTAGTTATTAATACATTCTTTAAAAATGTAAGTGGGAGAGTTTCAGAGAGATTAGATTTGTCCAAGTTTGTGTTTGGTAGGTTGGATATGAGAGGCTGAACCTCAGGTCATATGACCAAATCTAAAAGAGATAGATGTGATGCATACACACAGAGTCTACATGTGATCATACATACATAGCCACATACATATACACATTTAGTAAAAATGTGGCAAAAAGAAAATACAACAGTAAAACAGGTAGATTTGATTTATAAAACATACTAAATCTGCCTTATATGGCTTGCTTTTATTTAGATTTTTATTTGAATATTTCAGGTAGCCTGTTTTACTTTTGACCACAGTGAATTTTCTTATAGACTAAGTATGTACTTAGAGTATCTATATTAACAGGGACACAAAAATATTTTGGAATAAAAATTTTCTTTTTAGTACTTTAGAAAAATGTAGAAACATGGGTGAAAAATGATATTTGTAGGCCCAAATGCACTTTTTGGGAACGAGTTACTTTTATTTTTAGTGATACAGAGATTGGGAGGGAGTATTTTATGCAAAGAACCAAACTCAATTTTTCATGATCCTTGGCTCTCAAAAACATACCATTTTCTTCCTATTTGTGTTCTTCAATTCAACAACTTTCTGATATTTTCTTGGACAAATGCTTCTATATTTTCTTGAAATATCAAAAACCAAGTAGCTTTTCCCAAAATATTATAATACTTTGGTGTTCTATTTTTTTATTGTGAAAATACTGTACAGAGGGGTTACAATTGCATGGGCAAGATAATGAGTACATTTCATATCAAGCATTGTAGCTTCCTCCTTTGTTTCCCCTTCCTATCCCATCCTCCCCCTGCCCACCCACCCAATATGTCTGAGTCAAGCAGAAAAGGTCAGATAAGGTGATGTTAGGGAAATGAACCCTAAGTTACATAATCAAATTTTTTTTTCTTTCATGCAATTGTTTCTAACACATTTATAAGATTATTTCTTTGTTGCTTTGTATGTCCCTCCCCCACAGTATGACCCCTGCTTTCACTGTATTTGATGTCAATAATTTGTGGAGGGGAAGGGGGAAAACAAATCGTTTAAATAGGGATCCAGGTGGACCCATTGCAACAACGAGACGTACAAGTCGATGTGTCAAAAACGAACTTTACAACTTTGGTGGGGGGGAGTGGAGAGGGGAGGGGGAGCGTGGTGTCCTATTTTTTATATCAGTGACTTAGGCACACACTTTAACTGTTTGGTAGTTCAAACAGTCCTGCCTAGCCAAAGAGCAAATCAAGGCATTTGAAATAGTCATTCTACCTTTGGAAAAAGTATTCTTTATAATTAATATAGTAAAAGTGAGGCCCATAACAGTAAAGATATTCTGTTTAAA